ACAGAGCATTCCTGTAGTTGACTCTAAAGAAAACTACAACTCTGTCGACACGACAAACTTTGATGACCCCAAAAGGTCCAGAAGTGCGATTCTAGCCCATAAGGTGTTGGACCAATATTAGTCATCCAAGTCCATGCTTTGTTAGACAGTTACCTTTCCCAAGAACAGTTACTTCTAATAATTGATGATTTTATTGCATTCTTCTGAACTTAGGAGTGCTTACTCTAACGCTCTTCAAATTCTTCGGACTAAGCCTGAGACAAGCATGTAGAAAAACCTAAAACTTCACCATTATCAAACAATCAAGAAAATTGCTTTCTTATCAACTGTGATAAGCTGCCATTCCGACAGAAACCAACTGTTCTTGAGCCAGTGCAACAGAATATTTTCCTATTGAGGGAAAGTATAACACCATCTCGGAAGGACTGCTGCCTTACATTATACATGATCATCTTCATCCGGCACAAACAAGTCATCCTAGAGGACACGAACAGCGCTGCGCTGAAAAACCCAAACTTTCCAAGCCACATTCCTTTCTCCTCACACTCACAAAGCAACTGTCGCACAAGTTTTTCTCCCTCACCTCACTAAATGCCCGCATGAACAATCTTATGGTGCTATAAAGAATAAGGCTTCGTTCTATGAAAGGTCACTCAAGACAAAGCAAGAGAATGCCTACACAACCACTGTCAAACTCAAAACTGCACACCCTAAACGCTCGATTTTCCTCCCCACAAAAATATACCACCTAGTCCAAGATTTCTGATCAAAACTCCTCACAGACACAAAAGAAGAAACACGCTTCGCCAGTGACAACTACCGAGAAACACAATTTGTTAAAATGAATCAGAACCCATGAAAGATTATAGGCACGAGGTACAAACCTCCCAAACAACCATGGCGTCTTGATTGGTACCTTTCTTGCCCTGCTGCGTGTACAAGCAAGCCACGTCACTAGCCCCACTCACGCACATCTTCCCAGCAACATGAATCTGACTCTGATTCAGCAGCTGGTCGCTGTTCCCAGACCTCCTCTTGCTAAAACTCCCAATCTTCTTCCACCTCGCCGAGCCCGAGCCCAGCCCACGCGCTGCTACCGTAGCTGACGTGGGATCTCCCTCCGCCGCAACCCCCACCACGCGCCGGCCCTGCCCTCCTGGCGTCGAACAGCAAGAACCCATTTCGATTCCTCCCGCGAAAAGAACCCGGACAACATAAACAGTGGGGGCGAAAAAACCTCAGAACTTTCACAGGACCATCTCTTTTGAAACGTACGGTTCTTGGGGTCGGGTCAAAACGCAAAAAAAGAATCGAGCCACAAAGTGGAACGAAGTGGGGGCTAACGAAATTAAAAGAGAAAGATCGGGAAGAGAATTCGAAAACGGGCGGTAGGTGGGTGGTTGGATTATAAATGTCAGCGCAAGAATCACATCCGCACCGATCGGTGATCACAATCAAACCCCCCACGGAGAGCGACAGCGAGGAAGAGGGGAGCGAGGGAGGCCGTACACACCGACTCCGAGCCTCGCGACCTTTAAAGAAAGCGTGCGTTACTACTGCATCCAGACGAGCAGAAGCCAACGAGAACAGCTGATAACGATAGAGTAGGTGTCGGGCGATCGTGGGCTTTTCTTGGATTTTCTATATCGCGCGGCTCCTGAGACGATAAAGAAGCGAAACGGGGAGAGAGAGATGAACGGCCTACGGAGCCTTGCGGCTTGATCTAAATGTCCATGGCAGTGGGGGGGTGAGCTTTTGGCGTTGAAGCTGCTGCTGTTCCTACGGACCGAGGTCAAACGTGCGTGTGTGTGTGTCGTGTTTTTTAACGTTCTTTTGCCCGTTTCCGGTTTCGCCCGAGTGACCCACGCCTTTCCAGAAGTCAATGGTCGGGGCTTTTGAAATTTTTTTATTTCCTCGGTTCGGTCAAAGGGGACACGTGGCGGGGCCTTGCAGGTGGATTTGGACCGCGACCGCGACCGCGACCGCGCTTCTATAAAGAGGAGCGACCTCTGTCTAACCGTCGCCTATTTGTAAATTCGATTCTATTGCGTTATGTGGGCATGTCGAACTCATCCCACACCGTTGGATTTTCGTTGGGTGGGGCTTTGGGAAAATTTAGCCCACCGCAAATTGGGCCTACCCAATAGTAGATAAGCAGAAATTCTGAAATAATTAATCGATTAAAAAGGAAAAATTGATCGAAAAATCTATTTATTGCGCTTTTACCAATTCAGTCTTAAACTTTTTAATTGTCCCAATCGAGTTTTAAAATATTTCAAGTTTTGCAAATTGAGACCATTCGACCAAATTTGACCGGAAATTATTGACGTGGATGCCGGGCAATGTGGCAGGGTTGGCCCACGGCCGGCATTAACATGGACAACATTTAAAATATTTTAATATTTTTAATAATTTTTTTCTTCTCTTTTCCTTCTTTACTTTTTTGCCTTTTCTCTTCTTTTTTTTTTTTTTTTCTCTTTTGCCCTCTGTTGGCCTCAAGCAAGGGCCGCCCTCACCGGCCTTGGCTCAAGCGAGGGTGACCCTCACTAGCCCGAGGGGAGGGCAGCCCTCACCAACCTAGGCTTGGGTGTTGGCAGAGGGGAAGGGAAAAAAAAGAAGAGAAGAGAAAAGGAAAAAAAATAAAAAAGGAAAAGTGAAGAAAAGAAAAAAAAGGAAATTTAAAAAATTTGAAAAAATATTAAAATATTATTAAAAATTGTCTACGTCAATGCTGGCCGTGTAACGTTAGACGCCTGGCGTTCACGTCAGTGGTTCTGGCCAAAATTGGCCAGATGAATTCAATTGGCAAAACGTGAAAATGTTTAGAACTCAATCGACACAATTAAAAGGTTTAGAACTGAATTGGCAAAAGTGCAATAGATTTAGGACTTTTGATAATTTATATCTAAACATTTTCATGGACGATAAAAATATTTTTCGCTCATTCATTTTTGTAAATGTAAGCGATCATTTTTAGGAAAATGTTGTTCAAACTATTCATTTTGCACGAAACAAATGGAACACAAAAAACTTGTTGAAGAGGGTACTTGTTAAGTATATTTAGCAAATAAATTGATTTTCAATGCAGTGTTTGCACACGACATGAGACATACACAACATTGGAGATTGCAATCTTTTCCTTGAATAGGCATCTAACGAGAGTTCTCAAAATACTTGTTAAGAAAATCTATTCGTTAAAGTAAAAAAGCGGTGAACAGGAAGAGGTGGACATGGCCTCTTTTCACCTAACCTAAAAGTAATGTAGAATTAGAAAGTACAAAACAAATTTGAATAGTGAAGAGATGGCCATGAATTGACAACAAAGCAATGTCCCATCTTGCTGGTCTCTCATTATTCTTAATTTTCACATACATTCCAATCTTATTTATCGCCCAAAACTATAGTCACAGGGCAAAAAATCACTCAGCATAATAAAAGAATGATGTGGTCTCTTCATAAGCTTTTAATGAGGTTAATTATACTCAACAATTTAATAATTCATACTTTTTATTTACAATGTATTAGCATTTGGAAAATTGAAGCACAAACCATTCTTATAGTATCTTAAAACTTATGATACAAAAATTAGATTTTCCGGCATTATCACTTGCTTATCTCGGTCAATCCAAATCAATAATCAAGCTACAATCTTGACTGATGTGAGCATTTACGTTACACGAGGCGTTTTATCCTATCCTGTGTTTGGTGATGGTCCAGGATAGGATAAGGTCGGATATAGACCGGATATAGCCCGGATAAAAAAATCCGAGGGGGGGTGGGATAGACCTGGATAGGATTTCTAATGCCTATTTTTTCAGAAACCCTACACTCCACTCGCCGTCATCTTCATCCCCACACCTTGTGCGCTTTCACCAAAAAAATTGCTCGGCTTTTTTTCGTTCACCAACTCCTCCGGACCCGTGAATAGCAAAAAAATAAATAAATTATCCTATCCGATTTTAAATCCGCAGTCCACCAAACAGTGAATAGGATATGAAGAAATCCCATGATTTCTTATCCTATCCTATCCAGTCCTATCCTGTTTAGAAATCCGGACAACCAAACGCAGCCTAAAGACTTTTGGGTAAACGCTAAACTGTTTAGGTAAACAATTTTCAAAACCCATTAGGGAAATGCATTGCATTTCCAAAATCCTCCAAAACCTTTAGCTCAAGGCCATTACTACTGGGCATTCAACGATTTTGGAATGCTGGAGCCCATAATTAATAGTATTTTTATTTTAACTTTGCTCTCACCAGTTTTTTTTATTCCTCTTTTACTGTTGAAATTGACATTGCTCATCTCTCTACTATGCTCATCGTCTCTCTTTGAACAAGGTCACCAAAGGTCAACGGTTAATGGTCGATGAGGCAAGATCTGGAGGGTCGATGTGAGATTTGGAGAATCAAGGGTTGTCGAGGCTCGCGTAATGCCGGCCAAGGGTCACACGATGCTCGTGCTCAATTTTGAGCCATAGTAGATAGATTCGAGGGTCACCTAGTTGAGCATGGCCGACTTTGAGACTCAAGGCCTGTTGTCTTCGTCAGATGTGGCTTGCTCGACTTCTCACGACCTCTACGTTGCCTCACCTTGCTAGGGTTGCTGAACCTCGATGACGATCGCCTGGAGTTGCGTGACCTCGGCAACCCTCTTTGGGTTTGCGCCATGCTCGCAAGCCCAAATCTGGGCCTCTTGAGATCGCGTGACCTAAGCGTTGCCTCACCTAGGGTCGCATGCCTTCGACAACCATTGTGACCGGACCTTTCAAACAACTCAAAGTTGAGCCTGCTGCAATTTCAAATTTTCGTTTTCACGAAAGTCCTTTGTGCAAATAGTGTTCAAGAAAACTCTTTAAACTTAAAATCTATTGCATTTATGCAAAGACATTTCCCAAAAATTCTCCCAAACGCACGATAAAGCTCCAACCATAGTTATGCGGAAACCTGACACAGATCAGGGGCAGGACATTCAACAACAGGCTTACCAAAACATGGAAGTCGAAAGATGAAGAGGCCAGCAATTCCATATCTCTCCATGTTATTTATATAAGAAGGCAATAATTGCAGTGGAGACGGTCTATAGTCTTGGTCCAAGCAAAATGAAAGTGCTGATATAAGGGGGGCATGGAATGTGATTTTGAGCCCCGCCACTGTCATCGGCTAAGCATGATGGCGGTGATGACACTTGAGCCCTTGCTTTCCTTCTCTGCATTTGGTAGCGAAAAGGCCTGGCGGGTACTTCCCGTAAAGGTTAATGTAGGTAAACATGGTCGAAGCGCAATCATTCTTTGGGTCATTTAAAACATAGGCGTAAGGGCAGGCAAATTCCTCGAACGCTCCACAACAAGCTTTGGGAGGGTAAAGAGGCCCTTTGCATTTGCTCGTGATGATTGTGTAGTTCAGGGACTCAAAGTTCACTGGACAACCTGCAAAATCCATCGCACAATATTGAGATTCTAAATGATCTATAGACTTGGACATGAGACACAATAATCACATCAAAGCAACGCGAAGGTTGAGCAAATCGGCGCAAAGATGAGGTCAGGGCATTATCGGCCAATATCTGTGGTTATCTTTTCCTTTTTCGCAAATATATGCATGCAGCAGGATTTAGAGTGGTGGCTAGCTCCAGCTAGTACAGTATTGACAACATTCATCTGTTAAAAGTAAAGTATTTTGCTGACAATGTTTCCTAAGAGATCCCTCAAAGGATCATCAGTTTACAGTGTCCCCAATTATGCTACAAGAACCAGATGACGAGAACAGCAGAAACTCAGTAGTAACACCAAACTTTTCACATGCTTCCAGTTAATGGGCCTTTTCCTTTTTACTTTACCTGATTGAGGCTCTTCAGTTTCATAGACTTGAGAATTTCTTGCACAGGTAGAACAGAAGAAGCTTAACTATAGCATTCTACAATTCTATCAAATCAAAATTAAACTTCATATGACAATGTTCCATCTTTCCTCCGGATCCGTCTTGACAGGGTGTGAGATAACTGAGAAGTACAGGAGGAGTGGACAGAAATCTGACTGGACTTTGATCTGACCTACACCGTAATATTAGGATATTTACTTACCTCTCAGGATTATGCATATATCTCCTATAATTGTGCATATCCCTAATTGATTAGAATTGATATTCTATTTATCTTATTACTTTAAATAGTCATTTTATAAAGCATATAAATAGGTTCATATACTATTTATCAAAATATATCGAAATATATGGGAATTTCATATCGCTCTTTTCCACTTTGTTCAACTCAAGCAGTCAATGAATATAAAAGACACTGGACATATGCTCGAACGAACATACCTAAGAGCTACACCACTCACATAATTCGATTATTAAGCCAGAATTTGAGTAACAATCGCTACTTGAGCAACTAACAATAAACTGTCAACCAGGGATCTGTTGCCACAATATCGCCACTTCTCTAACATAAATCTCCACACCAGGAACTAATTTAGAGCACCAACATCCCAAAATAGCCCAAAGCGTCTAAAAGCTTGGAAGAAATAAGGGGGAAAGAACAGCATTGGTGCCAAAACTTGTATACGGAGGTCACTTTGGTGCCAAAACTTTCATTTGGATAACTTAAGTGCCAAAAATTTACTCCGGCGATCACTTAAGTGCCAAATCGGAGAAAAAACGATCATTTAAGTGCCAACGGCGAGAAATTCCGATCAAATTTAATACGTGACTTTTATATTTAAATTTTAATGACACGTGGCATTTCCATGTGTATAATTCAATTTTTTAAATATTTTTTTTTCTGATTTTCTTCTTTCTTTTCTTTTTTTTTCTTTTCTTTCTTCTTATTTCCGATGGCCGGCGTCCGGCATCCGGCCACCGGCCATGGCCGGCCTCGGCGAGGGCCGGCCTCGCCGGATCTGGGCGAGGCGAGCCCTGCGCCGGGGCTCGCCCGCCTGCGAGGTCGAGGTCGCTCGGGCGTGGCGAGCCCCGGCGAGGGCTCGCCTCGCCGTATCCGGCGAGGCGGCCGTGGCCTCGGCAAGGGCCGGCCTCGCGGATCTGGCGAGGCGAGCCCTCGCCGGGGCTCGCCCGCCCAGCGACCTCGACCCTCTCTCGGGCGGGGCGAGCCCCGGCGAGGGCTCGCCTCGCCAGATCCGGCGAGGCCGGCCCTCGCCGAGGCCACGGCGGCCTCGCCGGGCCTCGCCCGGAGGAAGGCGATGCCCGGCGAGGCCGGCCATGGCCGGACGCCGGCCATCGGAAATAAGAAGAAAGAAAAGAAAAAAAAAAGAAAAGAAAGGAAAAAAGAAAGAAAAGGAAAAAAAAAGAAAAGAAATGCCACATCAGCCTCCGGCGAGCCACATCAGCTTGAGAAATTAATAAAAAAATGCCACGTCGGATTTCCGGCGAAGTGGCATTTAAGTGATCGTTTTTCACAACTTTTAGCACTTAAGTGATCTGATTGAAAATTTTGGCACTAAAGTGGCTTCCGTACACAAGTTTTGGCATCAATGCTGTTCTTTCCCCAAGAAATAAGTATCCAACAAACAGGGTCATAAAAGATTTTACTTTGTTTAGCCTGGAGGAGGTGCCGACCAGCAAGAGCCTGCGATTCGAATATATCATCTGTATCCACATATCAAGAAAATAAAAAATCTTAGGACGACATTCACGGGTCCACGCAAGAGAATGAATTGGCGGGTTCTGAAAAGGAGGAGTTTTTAAAGAAGATACCTGAAATGGGAGTGGCAAAAGAAGCGGTTTTGGAGGAACAGGTCAAAAGAATCAAGAAAATGGCACACAACTTGCAGAGAGTGAACCCGTATGACGCCATAGCTTTCTGGGTTCTTGGGTTAGCGCAGAGAGAGAGAGAGAGAGAGAGAGAGAGAGAGAGAGAGGAATTAGATCTCTTTTGCGGAGAAGCAGATTTATTCTTTCTTCGTCACTTGAGATGTTCTTCTTTAAATAGAAACAAGGCAAATAAGGTTCAAGCAGCGTATAGCAAAAGTGGAAGAGGGGTGAAGAGAGTACAACAACATCTGGTGGAGGGTTGGGTAAAGACATCGGACATACATAGGGACGGTGACTACAGACTCGTGAACACGTCACTTTCTCCTCTCGCAGTCTCAGTTTCTTCGTCCCCCATTGTTTTCTTGTCATTGCCAACTGTTTGTCCACCATATTTGACTCGATAATTGAATAAATTTATTTCTCCTTCTTCTTTTTCTGTTAAATTATCATATATTATAATGTCATTTACTTAATATAATAGAACGAGTTTAAGTAATAGTTTCACGTTTGGAAAGTAAATTTCCTAGACTTGCAAAACCCATCCCCACAACTGCCCAGCGATTCCGGTCTTCTGTGTCATCCTGTTCAAGACTTCTCTAACTGTTTTAGTAATGAAAAGTCTTCGGTGTATACTTTCATGAAGAGAAAAAGAGCATCCCTACTTAGAGAGGACAGGACATAGTCGGATCCTTTAACGGGTTGGGCAATCGCCTATATGCGCACACTGCTTTATGCTTTCACCGTGCAAAGAGAACAAGAAAGCTGAATTTGACATTTGCAAACGATGTGAATGTCCTGGAAACTTTCGTAGTTTGACGAGATAGTCTTAGATGCCCTCTTATGGTCCTTTGAGATGCTCAAGTGTCTGGTCTGACCCCGGGAATATCCCGATAGAAAACTGCTGCTTCCTCGCTTTTGCTTGTTTTCAAATTCTGTAAGAACAGAAACTTAGTAATTTACCCTATTTTCTTTTTCTCTCCCCAAGTTTTGCATAGTAAAGTCACAGGAATTGGAGTTTTAAAACTGACAGGATTCCTCCGGGAACTGATGCGGCAGAATAATGTAAGTTTCGAATCGTTGTATACATTTAGTAAATTGAAGGAGGTATTGCCTTCTTCCTTGATGGTTGAGCAGGGTTCTCTTGTATCATGTACTCCAGAGTGCGGTGGCTGCTTTCTAAAATCTCTCCATCATTTAAACATGCTGCAAAATGTTTGAGGATTCATGCTAACTCCCCCTGACAAGACCGTCTGTGCAAGAATAGTACCTGGAACAAAGGAATTTCCAATAAAATGGTGCTGTCCTTTAAGACACCCTTTGATTAACAAGACCAGAAAAGGGGCTCGAGGTCCCCAATGCTGATGCTTTTCTTCTGCAATTTACAACTTTCTGTTGATCAACTCGACCCTCTTTATTAGTACTGGAAACAGGTGAAAAGTTTGGTGTTGCTACTTAGTTTCTGCTGTTCTTGTCTTCTGGTTCTTGTATCATAATTGGGGACACTGTAAAATGATGATCCTTTGAGGGAGCTCTTCAGAAACATTATCAGCAAAATACTGTACTTTTAACAGATGAATGTTGTCAATGCTGTACTAGCTGGAGCTAGCCACCACTCTAAATGCTGCTGCGTACCTACATTTGTGAAATATACAATGAGAAAATATCGGCCAGATATAGCTTTTTCTGATGGAAATGGAAAATAGGACGAGAAAGTTTGAGGGGTGAGAAGGTTTTCAGAGTTCTTGTTATCTTGAGCCTAATGGATTGCTTTATTGTGAAATTCAAATGTTCAAGTTCCAATTGTATGCGAAACGATGAATGTGGTTGACACTGAAGTGAGTTACTAATGAAGTCCTTGGAGAATTTGGGATATCTTGGGTATCTGGAGCCCCTAATCATAATGAAAGAGAGAGGTGTCGTGGCATTTAAAAAAATTGGTCATTGGAATAACCTACCATGGATGTGTTTGGGTGATTTGTATGATATTGGAAATATTGGCGAAACGTGTGGGGGAGCTCCAAAAGCTAGAAGGTATATGAATCAGTTCCAAGGTATGGGCAGGGCTACTTGATTAGGCTTTCTCAGGACGGAAGCATACGTGGCGTAATAATTAAAAAAAAAAAGGGAAAAGAGGATTAAGGAAAGAATGTGGGCAGGGGTTTGGCTACTTCAGAATGGAAGGGCCTTTGACCTAATACTTAGGATCTTTGATTTGTTGGCTGTTGGCTTAGATCATTGATCATCAATAATCAACACCAGTTACCAAGATGAGAGGGTTCCAAGGACGTTTAGGTTTGAAGACAAGTGGAATGCTGTGGAATAATGCAGGGAAGTGGTGAATATGGCCTGGAGCAGTTATATGAAGGAAGGGTAGTTGAGGGATGTGATGCAAGAAATTGACAGTTTGTAGGAAGGCTATGCAGAAGTGGAGTAGGAGGACCTTTTAAGATAAGTAAAGATAAGTTAAGTTGGAGGAACTGCGGAGGGAATTAGATGGTATGTTAAAAAAGAAAGGATCAGCAGGAACAGAAAGTATTGATGGAAATGAATGAAGTGTATGGCAAAGGGAGGAAATTTATTGGCATCAAAGCGCTAATTTGAATTGGACAAACCATGGTAAAACGAACAACATGAGGATGGTCTTTATATTCTGTTTTGCCTGGTTACTCTCGTTTCAAAAATTAGCGCTTTTAATTCCGCACAATTTTGTCATGGTTTTTGAAATCACCTATTCATCCATTTCAGGTGATATTGTTAGCCAACATCGGATTGAAGGGATTACAACCAACAGAACATGTCCTGCTGATGGGGACTCTTTGATTTTGTGGGAGGCTGAGGAAGGAAACTGCTGGAGGGTGAAAACAGACGCTCGAGGAATACTGTTGGGCATTTTGACAGAGAGTCGATTTGCCAGAGTCCGAGTGCACATTCCTAGTAAGAATGCCAGTCACAACTTTCAACCGCGACGGATTGTCTTACCTAACGATCCGTCCGTACCAAAAAAAACGAGAACCTACGAGCGCTTCCTCTGTTACGTGTCGCTTACTTCGTTTTGGTCGGACAGACAGACAGGCAGAGGGAAAAACACGAGAATGACATGGCCTGCTGCAGCAAGAAGCCCGCAACAAACCAGCTCTTGTACTTCACGCCCGAGAAGACGACCACGAGTCCCAGCCGGAACGCCTTGTTCGCTAGCCCCAGCAGGCTCCACAAAAAGCCTCTCCTCCACCAATCGCCACCCACAGCTCGCCCATCTCTCTCTCTCTCCCTCTCTTTCTTCCTCCGATTTTCCACGCCGACGGCAGTGCCGTAGCCATGAGTGCTCCTCTCGCCGTAGCTTGGCCGTTCTCGGCTCGTCTTCGGGCTCCGAAGCGGTTCTCCGGGATCGGAGCGCCGAGAGCGGCATTGCTGGAGGCGCGACCTCATGGTTCACCGCCGGATGTCGTCGTCGGCGGCGCGGTCCTGCGCGTGTCGGCTGGGGATCGAGCGGCGGACATTCAAGCCGAGTCCAGAGCCGTGGCTCGGGCTGTGAATTCTCCGGTGTACAGCCCGGAGCTTCTTGCTCGCAAGTACCGTTCGCGTCCGATTAAGGTCTCTCTCGACATGAACGTGCTTTCTCGTAGATGTTTGTCTGTACGAATGTGCATGTGTTGATCGTGGTGTTGTGGCGACTTTCGCCCTGGATTACATTTAGAGGCGGCGTATGCTTTTTGAACATATTAGCTGAGCAGGCGAACTTTAATCTCTCTTTCTCTTGCTTCAGAGATGTCAATGCTTTTCACTCGCGAATGTAGGTATATGATCAGTCTCGTTGTGTATGGTGAAGTTCAACATAAATTTTCGTGTTGAGGGGAGTTGATTACTTGAAATTGATCTCTTATTCTATCACTCCCTGCACATCAGTATGTTCACTAATTTTACTTGTCCGTACAAGAGTTCGTCTGTGATTTTTCAATTTGAGGCGTGGTTTATTCTTTGACGAGCTGACTCAAGTGGAATTTAATTGTGACTAGATTGTGCGAAGGGCTTTGGATGTATTGATAGCTTTTGGCATGTTTGCGTCGAAGCTCCTAATCGATCAAAGGTATGGTTGGGTTGATCAGAACAGGAGAAAGCGAGGTGTGGAGTTGAGGATGATATTGACACGGTTAGGGCCTACATTTGTCAAAATCGGGCAGGGGTTGTCGACCAGGCCTGATATCTGTCCTCCCGAGTACATTGAAGAGCTCTCTCAACTTCAGGTACTGATGGTGCTTATTTGGACACAATGTATGCGGAAGCACAAACTCTTAACAATACGTGAATACAAGTGAATTGAAACTAACACAAAGTGACATGTTTCGGCTGGTTTTTCAGAAAGAACTCTTTTAAAATGAGTTAAATGACACGCGATGAGATGCGATGAACTACTAATACGATCATGAGACATGAATTAGCTCTCAACCACCACATGAATTGATAGGTTTGGGTGCTGCAGGTTGTTGTATTGATAGTTAGGCTTGTCCCTCACACATGCTTGGTGAAAAAGTGCTGCCGACATGACCAGGGAAATCATAACTCTGTCTGTCTTCTTGTTGAGATTCAGCAAATAATGATTTCTCAGTTTTCTTGTGAGTGTATTGAATGTGCTCACTGTTATCATATAGCACCATCCAGGTGCAAGTGTTAAATATGATGACTTTGCAGCTTTAAGGCCATCTTTATCTAAACAGTTGCAGCACCGACTGAATTTCCATAATAAATGTCACCTGCCTATTGTCTGTTTCTTTCTATGTCTGGATGTTTAAGTATAATCCATTATGGCGCTGGGAAGATGTTTAATGTCATTATGATTGACCAGGATGCATTGCCAACTTTCCCGGATTCAGATGCATTTGCATGTATAGAGAGTGAACTGGAGCTGCCCCTTGATTCGATCTTCTCCTCCATATCAGCTACTCCAGTGGCAGCAGCAAGCTTGGGCCAAGTTTATAAAGCTCAACTAAAATATTGCGGACGGTTCGTCGCTGTCAAAGTGCAACGGCCTGGTATTCAAGAGGCTATTGGGCTTGACTTTTATCTTATGAGAGGACTGGGGTTTCTTATCAATAAGTACGTCAGTGGCATTACCTCGGATGTTGTTGCCCTGGTTGATGAATTTGCACAAAGAGTGTATCAAGAGCTCAACTATGCGCAGGTTAGATTTCTGATAAGCAATTTCGTAGGTGCAGTCGTGATTAGGTTTACTCATTGCTGAGAGGCAAAGCGTCTCAGTACCTCGACCTTCTTTCTTCTATATACACTTGCGACAACACTAGTTTCCAACCTTCCATGAACTGCTTGTTTGGAAAAGCTTTAGTAATATGTACGAGGTATTTCGCCATTGATTGTTAATTTTGGCAGGTCCCTGCAGGAGGGGCAGAACGCAAGGAGGTTTAGAAGATTGTATGCTGACAAAGAAGATATACTTGTACCGGATATATTCTGGGATTACACTAGTGGCAAAGTGTTGACTATGGAGTGGATTACTGGATTCAAACTCAATGAACTGGATGCCCTTGAGAGGCATGGACTAAAGGTTTTGGATTTAGTTAGCACAGGAATACAATGCAGCCTCAGACAATTGCTTGAGTCTGGATACTTCCATGCAGATCCTCATCCCGGTAATCTTTTGGCGACACCTGAGGGAAGACTTGCTTTTATTGATTTTGGTATGATGAGTGAGACCCCAGAGAAAGCCAGATATGCTATCATCGGTCATATTGTGCACCTGGTTAATCGAGACTATGAAGCTATGGCTCGTGACTACTATGCTCTGGATTTTTTGTCATCTGAAGTTGATGTTTCCCCCATTGTGCCTGCATTACAGAGCTTCTTTGATGATGCACTCAATGCAACTGTGAGTGATTTAAATTTCAAAGCGATAGTGGATGGTCTGGGAACTGTTTTCTATCAGTATCCTTTTACTGGTGAGTAAAGATCAACTTTCTACTTTAGTAGCTATGTCATATTTGGTCTTGTACATCATTTTTCTGGTTCTGAATTACTTCTTGATTAGCTCCTAGGTGAATTTTTAATGCTCTCTTGCGGTGAAGTGGTGTGTCCTTCTCTTTGGAGAACTAAACGGAGTAAACTCATTTAATTTGAAATTACCTAAATGGAACAACTACATCTTTCGTCCATGCACAGATCACTTCATAGGCTTTTTCTTGAAGTTTGATTGTTGGGATGGATGTTTCATTTGCAGTTCCGCCATATTATGCATTGATATTGAGGTCGCTTACTGTATTAGAAGGCTTAGCACTCCATGCCGATCCTAATTTCAAGGTGTTGGCTGCATCTTATCCATACTTTGCTAAGAGACTCCTCACCGATCCAAATCCATATCTTAGAGATGCCCTCATAGAGCTGCTGTTCAAGGATGGGAGATTTAGGTATGTAACCGCCCATGTTTCCTGTTGTTTGAGGCTGTCGATTTGGTTTGGTTATACAAAAATCTTTGTCTTGTGAAGGTGGAACAGACTTGAAAACCTACTTGTCCAGGGTAGAAAAGACAGAGATTTTTCAACCAAGGACGCTTTACAACCTGTTTTGAGGTTGTTATTAGATCCACATGGCGAAGAACTTCGAGTTTTGGTCATAAAGGAGGCTGTTCATGTCATGGAAGCTATTGTCCTGGCTTCATCTATCGATGCTTACAACTCTATTCCCTACTTTATGAGGGTTTTGCCCAATTCATATGCAAATGGACCCTTTATAATGAGCAATGTTGAACTGAAAAGCCTGATGGATCTTCGAGATCAGGTTTTTAGGATATGGAGCCTCTTGCAAACCTCTAAGAGTTTTGATCCAGAGCTTCTACAGCCTGTTTTACAGGTAAGACTTAAGTTATACCATAATTCCATGATGCCTACTATTTTGACAAATTATACTGCTCTCCTTTGGACTTTAGTAGGTGCAACTATATATGAGAGAGTGGATGTGGCAAATTGTGCTGCTCTCCTATCTGTTTACTTATCCATCATAGACATCAAAAATGCGTATGCTGCCTCTTAGTTTGCTTATTATAGCGAGAATATGGCTATTGGCAGATAGATCAGGTTGCCTATAGCCTCAAAGACTATCATCTCAATCGAGTATGGTTTCGAAAAAATTTTCCTCCCTATAAAAAGCTCCTCAGACAGCTTATCTTGCTTCTTATCACTTTGAAAATAAGATCAACTTGCAGTTTCAAGACGTAGAAGGAAATTGGAAGAGTGGCCAGAAAAAGCAAGCTAAACATTGCAATGAAACTATTCTGGTTCTGAGGAAGCTTCCTGAGTGGTGCATAGTCTATGACTAATGGAATAGCCTTTGCTTGCTGAGAATTGCCACTCCTTATGTAGCCATGAATTTTCCAAGAGCGGCCAAATATTCCTCGAACATTGCACATGCACATTTGACAAAGAAAGCATGTAAATTGTTGGCTCCCTTTTCAAAGAAGAACTGCTTTTAGCTTGAATTTTTTTTTCCCTTGGTCAACGACAATGCTTTCTCAGGAATAGCTAAACCAATTATTAGCCTTAGAAGCAACAGCAGTTTACACGTTAACATCAGTATCCTGCAGGAGTAATGGTCATTGTGGATATCACCAGTGACAACTACATGACCACAGGTGACATTTATTATTATGTAGACGGGAGCATTCAATGATTGCCAGTTGGTCAGTCGGTGTTGTTTTGCCGAGAGTTAGTGGCTGAGTCACTGTTAGTTGGAAATCACATTGATGACCTATAAAATAAGCTCAGACTTTTTACACTTTTGGAAATTCTGAGACTGAAACATTATTTAGAATTAGTAATTTGGGGTTGCAAACAGCAACTCCCATGTGGTCGGTATGGATTTACAATTTAATTTTGCGGTTGCAAGACTGTCCTTCCTGATCAGAAGTTGTTAAAATATTTGCATATGTACCTTAACGCGTGAAGATATAAAGAATTCTTATTGCATCACACTTTAATTTGCTAAATATGACACTTCAGTTTGTTATCTGTTGCAATTAAGGGTTTTCATGGACCATGCTTAAAAGTAGAATTCGATCATAGAACTACCAAGGAAAACAAGTGTTGAAATTTCTTGCTGCAAGAAAGAAGTTCTGGAAGAACTGCAGAGTTTTAATGTTACAAAATACATGTTGAGGCGTAAATATACTAAGCTCTAACTTTCTTCATTCTGTCTTTTCCCGAGGACAGCCTCAATAAAATTATATAAGCATAACTTAATCTTAGGTGGAACTATTTGCTAAGGTGGATACATGCCACTAAAGGGTGGAAAAAAGTCTGTCAAAATCGTCATTTTGAAGAGTAGAGCTTGAGTGGGTGTGACCTTTTAAGAGGTGGTATGAGTGCAAAAAATTATTCGATGAATTTAATATATGTACTTATCTGAACAATTAAAACTGATGAATCATGTGTAAGTCCCACCATATTTGACAGTCTAGATGCGGTTTACTATATGTATTAGGTTTGCCGAATAATTGTTCGGTGCGAGGGACCTGATATTTGAGGGCTTGATTCTCTAAAAAAAGCACACTTTTGAGTTTAGTCCAATTCTCGCGTGGACTTTCATTTGTCTAAAAAAAACAGCACAAACTTCTTAGGCCGATATCTGATTAGCTAAAATAAGTGATACCTAATGATTTGACTCTCCAGATGCCATTGGAAAATTTTGGGCCCTTAACGATATATAAAGGACAGGATTCATTTTGGAGCAACCGCGTGACGAAGCATCTAAATGCAAATTAAACAGAAAACAGGCAATTTCGATAGTTGTATGCTTGGTAAATGAAAACAATGGGATCACCCTAACTTTAAAGCTAAACAGAAGTATGGGGATATCTTTATGCGGAATTTGCGAAATGTTGGCAGTAATTTATTTTCCCTATTGCTGTAATTGGTGATACATTTTGGAGCAGGTCCTCCAGCAACCCGAGGCACGCAGCTTGGGGGTGCGTCTTGCCGGTGGTGTTACTCGCCGTCTTGCTGCTAGAATGCTGCAACAGGTACTGCTAACAACGTCAAAATCTCCTGATTTGGCTTTCTCGCCACTGTAAACGTCTATATTGCAAGGTAATGTGATTAATTTTGGACATTTTTAAACCAAAAAGTGGAAATTGAGATCTTGTTGTCATTCTTCTTTTGTAGAATAAATTAGTCAAATGTTAGCAGTCGTAGAAGGATGTAAAAATAGATTTGATTCTGGGGTAGTAGAATAATATGCACGAGGCTTCATCCACCCTTTTTCACTACTCTGTTGTTACTTTCACATTTTTACTGCTGCAGCCTGAATGTTGAAATTTGGCCTTTTGAAATATTAAACTAATCTGCATTGTTTCCTTTGAAATGAGTTCTACCTATCAATTCTTGGTTTGATATTTTGCCATTTGATTTATAATTGTATATACCATCTAAAACACAGTTGGAGAAACTCATATCAGAAAGTCGTCAGTCGACTAATCTGGAACAGCTTGTGTTGATCTATGGTTAAGCTCATGCACGGTTACATCTATTTCTTTTCGGTCTCTGCAATATCTGTATGGTGATATACTAGAGGTTCACCACAACGGTGCCTGTGAGATGGTACAATCAATTTATCTAATACAAACATGAGTCAGATGACCATTTTTGATATTCAGAAAGAAGTGCTAACATGAGAATCATGCATGTAAGAGTCCATGTCAAAGGCATGGTTCTCATCAGAGATGATCATCGATTTTGTAGGATATGTCTGAATATACATTAGAATGATAGCTTGTCCCGAATTTTCCCAAGACCAAGTTATAAGTTAGTTGCAGTCCACTGGATTATGAGCTCGAAGCCGAGATGCCATTCAACAAGAGCTTTGAGTAGCGCTGAAACCATGTTATCAAGGACACTGAAAGAAATGGCCGATGTTCTTTTTTTCCTCGGTTTGAGTTGTTGAATGAGGATGAACCTCATGAGAAGGGAAAATGTCCCTTCCGATCTTTGCGAGTATCTCAGACATCAAATTAGCCGCGTCTAATGGGCTCGGTTTTTCATTACCAAGTTAACGAACGAAACGTGTGTTTACCATGTTCAAATTGCAGTAGTATATGATCAACAGCTTGTGAGGTTTGCTAGAGGATCGGTTATTCTTTAAGGTACCAACACCACGTATCTCTTTGAAACTAGATAGCCTTCGAATTGATGTTCAAGTGAAAATTCGATCAACTAAGAACATGTTCTGTGATATAAACTATGTGCTGGCATTCCGAAGAAACCTCATCATCACATTCTGCTGTTCTTTGCCATTGCCCATTTCCAAGAGCTAGGTGAACTCAGATTGCCAATCACCAGGATTCCTGTTACTAAAGCAGAGCTCCAGCACGTTGCGCTAGACTTGAGAGGAGAACCGCAATATACAATTGACTTTCCTAGATGTCTTTCCATGGAGGAAGCAGAGAGATTATCTCATTTACAGACCACATTCTCAGATGGCTGAACTAATTGTTGACGTGTGCAATCATCAGTGTACATCATAAGATGGAATGAGACTTCCGACCCACGAATCATTTAGAGGAAAAAAAAACGAGTGTATCATGATGATACAGTCTCCATTGTTTCCTTAATCCATTAATGCAGCTGTCTACATAGATCAATAAATGAGCTTATTAGGTATGCATTGCCAGTGCTACCAAAAAGTCTAAATATAGTAGTCTGTAGTTGCACATGTTGCAATGCCCAGAAAGCAAGATGCGTGATTCGAACAGTGAATAGTTTGTTCTTATAGAAGCTGAAAAATGCTTTTGTGGCGTCAAATCAAACACATACATGCATCGAATTCCAAAAGCTTCGTTTTCTGCGTCATCATCTGGAAAATAGAGAATCCTCGCAATCCTATAGTCATGACACCTAGTGTCGAAGCCAAACCCTGCAACTAAACGAGCAGTCTCCACAGAGAGAAATTGATGCTCCAGACCAGATCGTCGAACCGCCTTGTGCTTTCTGGTGAACAAATTCCACAAACACATCGTCAGACCATAGTCGTGGGAGATATCCTGGGACGCAGATCAAACCATTACACGAACCAACAAAACCGTAGCAGTGGGGAGGATTGACAAAGGGAAGTTGGAGTGGGTGACTTGGAAAACAGATAGAGCACTTTGTGGAGAGGATCGCGCCACAATCTAGACACACGGTGTGCCAATTGGAAGCGTCAAGAGCGGAGTGGTTCGTGTGGAGGGCCATGAAACAACGGTGATTGATGGCGGAATGCCAGGATCGGGAAACACACCTAAATTGGAGGAGAAATCCCACGCCAGCAACCGCTCAAGGATCTCCTGGACGACGTTGTGATCGAGCTTCAGGTTGTCGTCACAGGAACTCATGGTTAGGGGTTTTGGGGAAAAATTGTCCAAAAAGTCATAAATTTATTGCACTTTTGCCAATTCAGTCCTAAACCTTTTCACTTCTTACCAATTGAGTCCATGAGGCCGATTTTGGCTGGAAATCGCTGACATGGACCCTAGCCGGTCACGTGGCGCAAACGTGGACATTTTTAAATAGTATTTAATAATTTTCTGAATTTTATATGGTTTTTTTCCTTTTCTCTGTTTGTTTTTGGGTTTGGGAGTTATGGCCGGCGAGGATGGCCGACCGACCCTCGCTAGCATTGGGCGAGGGCATCGTGGCCCTCGCTTTGCCCAGAGTCGGCGAGGGTCGGCCAGCCATAACTCCAAAACCCAAAAAAAAAAAAAATAGAGAAAAGGAAAAATAATAAAAAAACCATAAAAATTCATAAAATTATTCAAATATTATTTAAAAATGTCCATGTGACCAGCCGGCGTTTACGTCAGCGATTTTCGGCCAAAATTGGCCTCATAGACTCAATTGGCAAGAAGTGGAAAGGTTTAGGATTTAATTGGCAAAATTGAAAAGTTTATAACTGGATTGACAAAAGTGCAATAGGTTAAGACTTTTGGGACAATTTTCCCGAGGTTAAGAAGAGGAGCGAAAATGAACTGATGATATTTATTATATTAAATCGAGGGCCGCACTTTTTCCACTCATCTTTTGACTTAGACACTCCTTTTTTTTGTGTTTCGACCATACTATCCCTTGTATATCCCACCATTTTTCTTACAACTCGACCCGTCCTCCTTTGACTTAGACACTCCATTTTTTTTTTATTTTAACTATACTATCCCTTATATGGCCCACCACTTCTCTAACAACTCTGGTGGGTCATGTGAGGGATAGTATAGTCAATATACAAAAGGGTAAATACTACCAAAAACCTCCAAATTAGTACACTTGTGACAAATTTACCCTCAGTTTGTTTTCGTTAAATTTTACTGTCAAATTGCTTTATTAAACGACACGTTGCAGTTGACTGATGTACCAGTTTTACGTTTTACCCTCCGTTTATCACAGGTGTATCAATTTATGATTTTTTGTGGTATTAATCAATTTAACGGAAACTAACGGAGGATAAATTTATCACAAATATACCAGTTTGAGGTTTATAGTGGTCAAAATATTAGTTTGGGGTAAATTTATCACAAGTGTACCAGTTTGGGGTTTTTTGTGGTCAAAAAATTAGTTTGAGGTAAAATTATCATAAGTGTACCAGTTTGGGGTTTTTCATGGTATTAACCCTATACAAAAAAAAAAATGGAGTGTCTAAGCCAAAGAAGGAGTGGAAAAAGCTTGGCCCTAAATGGAAGCTCCAGAAAATCCTATCGATACGTGGCAATTCTGTATTTATCACCTAATAAACTCTATGAAATAATTAAATAAATCAAATATACAATTTGATGAGATTTTTGCAATCATCAAAATTAATTTAGGGTCAAATTTATATGCTATGCATGTTTGCTATGTTTGTTTTGAGGAAAATGAGTAATTTGGAAAATATTTTCCTAAAAATAATCGCTTATATCACTCTAAATAATTAATCAACGAAAAATATTTTTGTTATTGACAATTGTTTATGTCTAAATATTTTAGTGAAAGGTGGGAATATTTTTGGTTCATTCATTTTTCTAAACAACATAAACAATTATTCTTTATGAATTTTTTGACAGAAGGAGCAGTGAATAGCCGCTTCGAGAGTGTTAACATCGCCTCTCGAGTTGCTGGGTTGTTCCGATGACACCGGATCTACCAAAATCAGGCGTCGTGTTGAATTGACTCTTTTTATCGGCGTTTCTTTTTGTTTTACGAAATCTCATTTTGTAATATACACTACGCTTCTCGTTCGTACATGAATTTCTTTGTGCAAGCATGCATATGGTTCTTGCTGTATTCTTCATTCATACATGAAAAATAGAGATTGAGGGTTTAACGATCTCTCTTCAAGAGGAGCTTTTGCTGCGGGGAGATGGTTCGTTGTCGCGAGACTATGTCCGATGCAGGAGGATGAGTTCGTTCCGTTGTGGCGAGATGAGTTCCCTGGTGTGCCGACAATCATGGTTGCGAGCCACGTTTTGTGTATTGTCCCAAATATATAGAATATGCACCAGGATATCAAATATCTACGTGCACATATCAGTTAGGCATATTATCAAACATATAATATGCATATAAATAAGAAGAGTTGGGATGGAGAACTGTTTAGACAATTTATAGTGGTTCGGCTCTAAACGGGTGCCTACTCCACTCCCGGACACCGGTCAGGAGTTATGCCCAATCCACTATACTTGAACCTCACACAAAGGTTAGTTTGTAATGGAGACAACTCTCCTTTACAAATACGAGTTCTTTTTCAAAAGCTTAATATGTCCGGAGTTTTTATTACAAAGTGTATACGAAAGTGTTTCTAGCGAGTAGATATAGTATAGGAATAAGGACACCACAAGTGTTATAATTTTTGTATGGCGCTCACTTGAGTGTCATAACTTTTTTTTCGACCACTTGAATGCCATAACTTCTAAAAAACGATCACTCGAGTGTCATAATTTTGAATCGATCACTTAAGTGTCAAAATTTTTTAAAAACGTTCACCCAAGTGCCAGAAATCTAACGTGGCATAGCACCTGTGATGAACGTTTTTAAACAATTATTCGATTGAAAAGTCATATGAAACTCAAATGAACAGAAAAAGAGTTATGGCGTTGAAGCGAGCGCTGTACACAAATTATGGCACTCAAGTGATCGAAAAAAAATATGATGGCACTCAAGTGAGCGTCGTACGAAAGTTGTGGCATTTATGATGTCCTTTTTCCAAGGATCAATGCTTTTGATGTCTCGGACGGCCAAGATGACACTTCGTGGATGTGAATTTTGAGGAGACCCATCAGGTGTTCCAATGTTGAAGAAGATGCAGAAGACGACGACTACGAGGCTCGAGAATGACAAAAGAAGGTTACTAATTAGTGGAATCAGGAAAATGCTTCTTTTGTTTCCACGACGAGAGAGGAAGCACTAAGGTATGTTTTAAAGTGATTTTGAGAGGTTGCTTGCTTCCACTTCAACGAGACCTCCATAAAAAAAATAGAAGAAGATAGCCCAAAACCAGAATCGACCCGTAAGCAACACATATTGTTCATTTTCGGGTCGAACCAACCCGAACCCGTTGACCCCTCTACCGTCAACCTCTTTGGCAATGCATGTCTTAATAGCATTTTAACTTCTCAAAATATGTTAAAATAACGTAATTCAAAATGTGAATAGTGTGGTCTTATAAAAGCTGAAAATGGTTATGGTGGCGTCAAATCAAACACATATATGCACAACATACAAAAAGCCTTATCATTCTTTTTTCACGGCATCTAAAATTTGTTGATAGCGATAGACTTACTAAAATGGGTAATAAATCAATTTTTTAACTTATATATCAATAAATGGGTTAGTTATATTCAGTAAATGAGTTATAAATGGGTATAAACATAATATGGGTGTTAAATGGGTCATAAATGGGTTTTGCAACTTACTTAAAATCAACTTATCTCACTTGTCCTCACTTAATTTCGCGCTCACTCACTCCGCACTCTCATCTCAGTTTGGGTATGAGTTTTCTTAGATTGAGTTAAATGTAGAAGTATTTTAACAATATAGGTCGGGATGTGTATGAGTTGATTTGTTGGGTCGGGTATGGGACATTATATTTGCATTATATGGAAATGGATCAAAACGGGTTAAACTGGTCTATTTAGGTAGGATCATTTTCAACACGATCCGACCCGACAACCCGTTTGATAGGTCTAAGTAGAGGCAATGTTGTAGTCTTGAGTTGCATACTTTGCCTAGTCTAGAGAAGTGAATGCGATTTGATTTCGATTATATCACAAAACTCCTTTCACCAACAAAACATCTCTCTCCCCCCTCACTTGTATTTATTTATTCCACTTCGCATCAGAAAATAAAGAGAATCGAGTGCATTGGTTGCAGGGAAACGGAGAGCTCATGACTATGCACATGCATTTGCCATTTAGGGGGTTCTCGTGAAACCAGATTGGATTTCGTTTCTAGTTTTGATCGGTTTTGATGTGGGTGACAAAAATGCAAGTTTTTCCGAGTGCAAATTGCAACGAGCACATGCTTTGCCTAGTCTAAAGAAAAACTGAAAGTGATCAGAAGTTGTATTGACGCAGGGTAAGCTATAACTGGAAAAAAGCTTTCCAAAGTAATTCTGAAATTCAATTGATAATCGTGTCCATCTCATTCATCGTAGTATCCTTTTATAGGAGAATAAGGAACAACCATCCAAGTTTGGAAAATAAAGATCTTAATAAATTCCTAGAAGACAAATCACAATTAATAAGGATTCTGGAAATTTAAAATTATTCAACTTCTCTAAAAAATATAAGAGATCATTAATGGCCTTCAACGCCTTCGAAGAATGCTCCGGCATCGGTCACGGCCAAATTGCGTTGATTTCTGGTGATTACGTTTGTCAAGATAATCACATGCCAATCGTTCTACATCATTTATAGACATGGCGGGACTAATTGACTAGTAGGCAGAGACCTACTTAAAAGCCAAGCCAACGTGTCCAAGTGAGCGGTATTCAAAGCATGGCAAGAAAATCTGCTAGCTTGACAAGAAAGTAGAGTTTAATTCCACATGGAGTGATGAGACTTTTCTTAGTCAAGTTCTGTTTGGCTGGGTCCGCCTCTGCGGGCCTAGCCAATATGAAGGTAATAAAAGAAGAAAAGGTGGAGCTGCTTCGTGCGAGAGTGACAAAAAAAGGAGAAGAAGTGAGAGAGCACCGTTAAGAACGAAGGAAAAGAAGAAAAAAAGGGGCGTGGCTTTGTTGTCCGGATTTGCAGGCCAAACGTTGTCCGAATTGATTTAAATTGCAGTATGTTGTTCGTGAGACCGAGTACTATGAGTTGATTGATTTCGTTTTGTTGAGAACTTTATCAAGTCGTCTCTCGTTTTCTCTGATCTCGATTAGGGTTTTTTCTCCATTTGTGTTAATTCATGAAATATTGTTGTATTGTTGATGTTGAGATACTTGAGAAGAAACTTTGTGTATTCTACTATTTTTCGTGATTAGTAAAAGTTTTTAGGCCGTCTGAAGTTTTTCCTGCTTTGGGCTTTCCATGTAAAATCTCGGTGTTATAATTGTATTTGTCTCCTTATCATTTAGGCATTATATTTACTTATTCCAAGGTTGAATTCGATATTGGTTAGTTTAGTTGTGGGTTGATCCTGAATTGGGTTAGTTCTCGGTGAATTGTTGCCCAATTCTCCCCAACAAGTTCAACTCCAATGCTCAAAGTAATGAGTTGCGTCGTTGCTTAGACAAATCGGCATTGAATCAGTCAATCCAATGAGCTTGTAAGATTCCTTAAAGTCACCTTTGGGTTCTTTACTAGCTTGAGAAAACACATACGTCTCTCTGTCTTATATATAACACCAACACCAAAGACCCTAGGAAGCAGTTTGACAAGAACATCAGAAGTTGTATAGACATGACAGGTCTGTTTGACAAGCAAGCAGAGACTTACCTACAAGCCAGGCCAACTTATCCAAGTGAGTGGTTCTCGATGCATGGCAAGAAACTATGCTAGTTTGACAAGAAAGCAGAGTTTAATTCCACATGGAGTGATGAGACTTTTCTTAATCAAGTTAAACTCCAATGCTCAAAGTAATCAGTTGCGTCGTTGCTTAGATAAATTGGCATTGAATTAGTCAATCTAATGAACTTGTAAGATTCCACGAGGAAAAGAAAAAATTCAAAGTCACCTTTGGATTTTTTTACTAGCTTGAGAAAACGCAGATGTCTCTCTGTCATATATATAACACCATCACCAAAGACCCTTAGAAGCAGTGCGACAAGAATATCAGAAGTTGTATAGACATGGTGGGTCTATTTGACAAGCAGGCAGAGACTTACCTACAAGCCAGGCGACCTTATCCAAGTGAGTGGTTCTCGATGCATGGCAAGAAAATTTGCTAGTTTGACAAGAAAGGAGAGTTCAATTCCACATGGAGTGACAAGACTTTTCTTAATCAAGTTCTACTCCAACACTCAAAAGTAATCGGTGGGGTCGTTGCTTAGACAGATTGGCATTGAATCAGTCAATCCAATGAACTTGTAAGATGTCACGAGGAAAAGAAAAAATTCAAAGTCACCTTTGGATTCTTTTACTAGCTTGAGAAAACCAGATGTCTCTCTGTCATATATATAACACCATCACCAAAGACCCTTAGAAGCAGTGTGACAAGAATATCAGAAGTTGTGTAGACATGGCGGGTCTATTTGACAAGCAGGCAGAGACCTACCAACAAGCCAGGCCAACTTATCCAAGTGAGTGGTACTCGATGCTCGCCGCCCGCACCTCACATCACTCTCTGGCTTGGGATGTCGGCACCGGCAACGGTCAAGCTGCTCTCAGCGTTAGTCTCTCTCTCCCTACACGATATTTTAACAAGAATATGTTTGATCAAATTATAACGGCTTGGTGATTCTCCAATGGGGAAATACGATCCTTCGCTCATCAATTAAAATCATTCCTGCTTGACTGACCACAAATATGTTGGCGACATAATTCTACCAGGTCGCAGAGCATTACAAGCAAGTGATAGCGACCGATGTTAGTGAAGCTCAACTAAGTTTTGCAATGCCACATCCACGAGTTCGCTACGTGCACACTCCAGAGTCCATGCCAGAGGATGAAATGGTGGCCTTGATGGGGGGCGAAAATCGTGTCGATCTGATCACTGTTGCCTCCGCAGTGCACTGGTTTGACCTTCCAAAGTTTTACAAGCTGGCCAAACGCCTTCTGCGTAAGCCAGGAGGTATAGTAGCCGTTTGGGCTTATAACGACATGTTTGTTAGTAACGACTTCCACGCCATAAGTAAGCGCCTCCGGGAAAAATCTTCGCACTTTCGGCCCGCAAATGCCAAGTACGCAATTGACGGATATAGAAATCTTCCCTTTCCTTTTGAGAGTGTGGGCTTAGGCCACGAGGGAGAACCAATGCAACTTGAGATTCCGAAGGAGCTCCTGTTCGAAGGGTACTTGAAACTTTTCAAATCAACATCAGCATTTGCCTCAGCCAAGGAACAAGGGTTGGATTTGTTATCTGAAGAAGTGATTAAAGAGCTTGAGAGTTCTTGGGGAGGGCCTAGTAAGGTCAGAACTGTCACCTACAAGGCTTTCATGCTTGCAGGAACAGTCACAGAGTAAGTCGTATATTTAGTTTGCAATATTTGATTTCCTCGATAATAAGTTCGACTTTTCTCCAGTAATGATTCCCAGTTTCTCATCCTATCTGCATAGCCGCTGACGGAGCATGAATTTGATGACCGAGAGAAGTCTCAACTAGATGCTTCAAATAAATGGTCAAGCTGCAAAGTACTTTTACAGAGACAAACGTATGTTCACATACTGATCTTTGAGAGAAGAAATCATGGTGCGAGAGAGTAGATTTTCGAGGCAACAAAATTTTTACAGCATAAGAATAGAGTAACGATAGAGAGGATGATTGTCACGATTTGGCTTGTAGATCTGCAGGGGAAAAAATCTCTCCATTGTATCGGAAACCTGCAACAAGCATCCATGCTAGAGCATAGATGAGGTACATGTTAGACCATTCTTTTGGACCGCGGTTAGGCTAAAATTAGATTTATTACGAGGCATTCTTATGGACCAAAGAATAAGGATGAGGTATTTGTTAGAGCATCAATGAGGAATGTCAATTAGTATGAACAGTAGAAATAAATTATTTCTTCAAACGAGATCGTTGATCGTCAAACAGGCGACTAAAAACAAAATCGATGTAGAACCATTCTTCTGAAAAAGAGGAGTAAGTTCATCCAGAGAGTTGCAGGATGATTGATATTAGGGAGCAGTTGACGAGATGAAGCAGACTCGACGCTAAGGGCACTAACATGAATGAGGAGTCCAAGAGAAGTCGCTTAGAAATCTGCCCATGAGATACATGGGGGCAAGGCTGCTGTTTGCCAATTATCGGCAAGTTCAGTAGAGATGCAGACCTCTCGTACTTTCAAACACAAAACCATGCGTGCATAGAAATATAAGGGATAAGAACACCAGGAGTACCATAACTTTCGTACGGCGCTCACTTGATTGTCATAACTTTTTTTTTTCTCACTTGAGTGACACAGATTTAAAAAATTGATAACTTGAGTGCCATCGGCGATTTGCCTCACCGGAAAATCCAACGAGGACGCTGGTGGTTCTACGTGATTTCACCGGAGCTGACGTGGACAATTTTTGAATTTTTATTTTATTTTATTTTATTTTGCAAATTTTTTTTTCAACGCCGGCGAGGGTTGCCGGCGACCCTCGCCGGTTGTAAAGGCCTCGCCTAGATTGAGAGAGGGCTGCCTTGCCCTTGGCCGCGAAGGCCCTGGGCAAGGCCGTCACAGCCTCGCTGGCGGCGGGTGAGGCCCCGAAGGCCGTCGCCAGATCTAGGCGGCCACGGGCGAGGCGGCATCACCAGATCTAGCGAGAGCCTTCGCCGCCTCGCCCGCAGCCGCTATGGCCTCACCAAGGGCTTTCGCGGCCGTGGGCGAGGCAGCCTTGCCAGATCTGGCGAGAGCTTTTGCCACCTTGCCCGCAGCCGGCGAGGCCACGATGGCCTCTCCAAGGGCCTTCGCGGCCATACCAACCGATGGCGAGGCGGCCCTCGCCCAGTTTGGACGAGGGTGAGGCCTCCGACGAGGGTCATCGGCGACCCTCGCCAACCTTGAAAAAAAAAAAGAAAAATAAGAAAGAAAAATAAAAATAAAAAAGATAAAGAAAAAGAAAATTTCAAAAAAAATCAATAAAATAAAATAAAATAACATTAAAAAAATCCACATCGGATGAAAAATTAATTGAAAAATCCACATGGGATGATTTGCCAGAAATGGCACTCAAATGATCAATTTTGCTCTGATGTGGTACTTAAGTGAGCGAAAAAAAAGCTATGCACTCAAGTGAGCGCCGTACGAAAGTTATGCCACTTCTAGTATCTTTATCCCAAAATATAATGCTAGCAGAAAGCTACCATTGTCAATAATCTGAACTCACCTATTTTGTATTGTAGTCCAAGCACACTTTGTAGAATACGAAAATCTCAAACCAATATGACTATGCAGTCTAAAGCGGGAAGCGCAAAAAGTTTCAACCCTGCATCTTCTTCTTTCACTCAAGGAATGAATGTAGAAGACATTTTCTTGCGATTTCAGACATCCCCACATCCATCTCAGTTGCCTATCCTAGCAAATGCGGCAAGTCATTTATCCGCTTTTCATTTATAGCCTTAGGTTAGGATACCCTTTTCGGGGCAATCTGTCAAACCCGAAAGGAATTTTGGAAAGGAATTTTGGTCTTTCTGGCCCGAGGTTTTAGTACGGGTGAGCATGTAACTAGGGTAGAACGGGAACCTAAGAAACAGACCATGGGAACCGGTCTGGTTTCAAGTTTTAGGGTATACAGGGTAGGTTGTAGGTTCCAAAAATTAAAGAACTTGTTCCAACGGATAAGTTCTGGGTTCCAAGTAGAATCTGGAACAAGTTTTTGTATTTTACTTGTTCTATGTCTTCGTGCGATCCTACGGCATTTTGTGGCATCCAATGATGTGTGTGTAATCTGAAACCTCTAGTATGAACTTCCATTTCCGGCGACATCCATGATTGAGATTTTTACTTTGTTAATATTGCATATTTTTCGTGTGTCTAAATATGAATTGTGATCAGTGATTTGTAGCAAATGGTGATCATTAGAGGTAATATTTCACTGCAATCGTTCAATTAAGAGTACATGTAGAACCTGAGTAGATCTTGGAACCTGTGACAGGGTAAGTTCCAAGTTCCTGAATATGCATGGTAGGTTTTAAGTTCCAAAAATTATGGAACTTGTTCCGATGGATAGATTTTAGATGGAATCTAGACAGAACCTGAAACCACTCATCATGCCTGGCGGCCTGAAGAAACGAGCCTAAAGGCCCAGTAGCCTTTTTAAGGGGACAGTAGGGTTTTGTTTTTTCTTTCTTTTTCTAAGTGCCTGACGGCAGATGACGTGCTATGCAATATTCATCAACAGTCGGTGGCATCTCAATTGTTCATTCAGCAATATTATATTCAATTAATAGGGATCCACTAAATGACAACAAGTACACAATCGGCGTGGCGACAAACGAACAAGAAATACATCATTTATTCAACGCAACTATTCATCGTCTCTTCCGATCAACATTCGGCGGGATTCGCAGAGACAATCCCGGCATAAACAGGATACACATATATCGATTCATCAACAATATATCTATTTCACTCAGCTGACGATATAATACACATACTCTTTATCATGACAATCATGTTTATTCATTCAACAATATCAATCCATTACATATTCAACTTTCTGCTATGGATAACTTACGAAGCATAACAACAGCACTCTTCACTGCTAAATAACAATCCATCAGTTCTGAATACTCTCTCAACAACTCATTCTGTCTATCAAATCTATCACACCTGCGATCATTACAATTACATTCATAATAAAACATAATATCACCTAATCGCTCCAACTCTTCAAACTTCGCTTCAATCCAAGCATCAACGCACTGCATTACCTCCATACAATCTCTCAGCGACGGCATCTTGAACAATTTCATACGATTTCATATAACATTCTCAACATATTTATACTATCATATTAATTTAATTTACATTTATTTCAAATTTATTTAGGCGGAAGCCAACAAGTGGTTTCCAACACACTCGATCGGCGATTTCCAATAACATACTTCGAGGCACACGCACTATCATGCACCAGCAGAGACGGATCACCGTTCATTACATTCACAACAGTAGGGGTACACGTGGACCTTCATCATGTGTGTAACGCGTAACGTACCCATGTCAGACCTCGGTCATCGGTCACAAGTAACCTCAGTCATGGTGAAGCGTACCAAATTCTGGATGCTCACTATCAATAATCCTTCGTACGAACCCTGTTTCGATTCGTCCCATCATAGATATTTGTGTTATCAGTACGAACTGGGATCTACCCTGCATATCCAGTGCTATGTAAAGTATCATGTCCATAAAACCCTAGGTCAAGTTCGGAAGGAGTTTCCTGATGCTCACGCAGAGAATTGCAGAGATCGATTGGCTTCCCGTGATTATTGTATGAAGGAGGAGTCTCGCGTTGATGGTCCCTTTCGAGTTTGGAGATTGGATCCCCGAGATGAAGTCTGGGTTTTGGATGGACAAGAAGCGGATGCGCGATGCTGCAGAATCCATGTTGACATTGACGGAGCTTGAAGATAAATTCCCAGAATTCCCCAGAGAGTGTAAGCGTCTTGACCTCGGTCATCGGTCACAAGTAACCTCGGTCATGGCGAAGCGTACCAGATTCTGGATGCTCACTATCAATAATCCTTCGTATGAACCCTGTTTCGATTCGTTCCGTCATAGATATTTGTGTTATCAGTACGAACTGGGATCTACCCTGCATATCCAGTGCTATGTAGAGTATCATGTCCATAAAACCCAAGGTCAAGTTCGGAAGGAGTTTCCTGATGCTCACACAGAGAATTGCAGAGATCGATTGGCTTCCCGTGATTATTGTATGAAGGAGGAGTCTCACGTTGATGGTCCCTTCAAGTTTGGAGATTGGATCCCCGAGATGAAGTCTGGGTTTTGGATGGACAAGAAGCGGATGCGCGATGCGGCAGAATCCATGTTGACATTGACAGAGCTTGAAGACATATTCCCAGAATTCCCCAGAGAGTGTAAGCGTCTTCGTTCAGTTGTTAATCGCGAATTGGCTATCAAGAATCATGTATCCCCTCGCCTCGATGATTGGCACGATATTGTTTACGATTATATTGATTCAGATGACGATAGGATATTATGGATCTGGGAAACAGAGGGAGGCAGAGGAAAGAGTACCCTTGCTGTTCATCTGAGCAGAACAAAGAAAGCTTTCTATTTCCCAGGAGGCAAGGCTGCGGATATTGCCTACATGTATGATTTTGAGAAGATTGTGATTATGGATGTCCCTCGGTATGCTTCCGATTATGTTAATTATGCTGTGATGGAACAATTTTACAATACGAAGCTGTACTGTCCTAAGTATGAGTCAAATATTAAGGATATACCCTTTCGCCCTAGGATGATTGTATTCGCTAATTTTGAACCCGATATTTCTAAGCTCTTTGATTATAAATTGAATGTTGTTAATATATAAATCCCTTTGGGATTTCCTTTTTCCCTTTGGGAATTCCCTGATGGGCCTAAAGGCCCAGTAGCCTTTTTAAGGGGAAAGAGGGCACATTTTTTTTTTTTTCAATTGCTGGCGCAATAAATGATTATTTTATATCCAAAAGAATAACCGGCCAATCAGATTCAATATCGTTTTGCACAAATCGACAAAAGGGCATATTACGTCACTCACTAACTATTCATCATCTTTAACACAAAACGCAGTAGAAGCATAACAATAAACATAACTTTAGAGTACATATGACATTTTGTAATCCAACTGAAACATTCCTACATCACTACCGGTTACAACAATACCCATGTATCCATTAGACTCTGCATAGGGAGTCTTCTTAAATATTGCAATAGGAATCTTATCCTTAGGCATCGTAGACGGAGGACAATCAACAATAATCCTCTTCAACACTTTCGTGATACTAGCATACTCAGGCTTCGGAAAAAGACC